ACCGTGACAGCGACATACTGTAGAGTCTGGATCTGTGCCATTTTGGATGTTTAAACTAGAGTTACTGGTGTCAGGGTCCATTCAGATTAAGCATGAATTTAATGTTTTTCTGATTTTCCTGACATTCATAAATGTGTTTCTAAGCTGCACTAACTGTTGCATTGTACCCAGTTGGTTTCACACTAGTTTTACCACTTTGGTCAGGACACAGTTTCTACTTGTGCTATACAGTTGAGTGCAAAAGTTTCCACCCCCCCTTTATTAAATGCTCTCTAATACTTTGTATGCCCTCCCTAACCTCGTCGGTGCCCTCTGAGCAGGATTTGTATGTCATTTTAGCCCATTTATCATGGCATACCTGTTCCAAGTCTGCCACATTGCTTGGTTGTCTGCTATGCGTCACCTTTTAGCCTATTTATGTGTTGTCAACTTCTACCTGAATCTCTTGTGATGGATCAGGCTCCTGGTGTCACTGAGCTTTCTGGTTTTTCTTTCCATAATCCAAGACAGGGAAATTAATACATGTTCTTTTGCACTGCATTGTAAAACAGGGGTGATGTCACCAAATCTGGCGCTGGTGCCACCAAGTCCCTCAGATGGTGCCAAATTTGGCACACCACCACTATGAAATGATAGTCTGAAGCCTTGTAACATATGGTAACACTACGATTTGAGCAAATAATCTAATTGCGATTCCCCCCCCAACATTGCGATTTAATATGCGATTTTATTAGCTGTTCATTTTCTGTATTAAACTTCAAGCCAAAGACGAGCACTAAGTCATTATATAGTATGACCAACATAATATTAGATTGAACATAAGACCAGGCATGTTATTTGATGAAATTAAATGATGCATGAATTTATATGAATGACATTTTTATTTAAACACTTCAATTACACTAGAATACTGAATGATTTGTTGACTTCTTGAAAACATGCAATACATGCCAACATAAAGTGTCAAAAAGGCCTGTTGTAAACATCAAACTAAAGTGCAGGAATATAAAAACAAATCTGGCTTTTCCACGTGCCGTTTTGATGTGCGTTCATAAGGAGTTACACTGTTAAACATTTCTGTCAGTGATGCCTGCCTGGTGGTAACTGGCTTACTTGAACCGGTCTGCTGCATTTTAGATATGCAACTATCATGCATGGCTTTGTGGTGTTTTTTCAAGTGCTGAATCAAGTTCGTTGTGTTACCACGTGAGGTAGCAACGCTAGCAAGGCAGGTTTTGCACAATACCTGACGCTGCGCGACATCTTCCTTTTTAAACCCAAAATAGTCCCACACAGCGGAACTGCTGCTCCTCTTTGGCACTAAAGTTTCTGGTTCAGGGTCCGGTTGTGTCGAGCCCGAGGCCATTTTACAGCAGGTCAAGTAACAAGTTATGCTACAGCGTAGTGTGACAAGATGCTGCGTCATCTGCAGATTGCGCTCGCGTGTCACGTGACCAGATTATAATCACACCTATTGCGATTAGAAAATCGTGTTTTACGTGATGGCGTTTTAATCGCAAATGCAATTCATCGTTCCCTACTAGATAACACTCATGAATCTTTGTAACTACTCTGATTTTTACTTGAGTGATCATGGGTCTGTTAACACTCGTGAATCTTTGTAACTACTCTGATATTTTTACTTGAGTGATCATGGGTCTGTATCACACTTTAACAAGGCCATAAATAATCACAACATCATAGAAAGTCTCTGAAACTTCCACTGTAACATTAAAGATTGAGAACAAGTCAAGTCACTGGTGCAACGTAAAATCTCATTCATGCAGTCATCTAATCCAGATAATGGTAACTATACAGCATCATCCTGAGCATGCTCTTGTTCCTGTACATAATGTAGTGGAGCCATAGAGCTTTGGAATAAGCACAATATTTATTCTTAAAATGTGCAAAGACAACTTTGCATCAGTTTGCACCACCAACAACAAATCGGCATTTGTTTACTGCTACCCACGTGTTTCCTTTGGCTTTGTATGTGGTCACACTGGTTATAAAATTTGCTTTTGGTTCAGTCTAAAAACACCTTTACAAAGCCATAGTGTTATTTAATGATATGTGTTTATTCTTTGTCACTCAGGGTTCAGACAGTGTTGGCTCCGCCTCCCCTGCCACCACACCAAGACAGGACAATCAGTCAGCTGCATCCTCCACCTCCGCTGTCCCAGGAAGTTATGATGGGCTGAGGTATCGTGGCGGCTTTCCCCAGTACAACCCTCAGAACCCCCCCGGTGTCCCTCAGTGGTGAGCAAGTCTCCGATGTCACAGTGTAACTGATATACAGTTCAGTTATTTTGAAATTTCATTACTTTCATAAAATAATAAGCTTAAGCACAAGGCCCAGGTTGTTTGTTGCTGTAAATATGAGGGTAGTTGACTGATGAAACAGTAAATTTATACAGCAAAGGCATCAAAATACATTTTTCACTTTTGTACTTTTGTTTAGACAACCTCATTAGTCACATAAAGGACACCCAAAGGAGATCATGTCTACATTATGGTTGCTGAAAAGTACTTGATCTTTTTTTTAATCTTTAAAAAGCTGATTATATTTCATTTTGGCTCCGATGGCCAGAGGTGCAGGCTCATCACAGTGATCATTTTGAAGGCTGTGGTTTGTGGTGGTGTGGTGACAATGGCATTACTCTGAAAGTAGAACTGGAAATGACATGTGTGAGACATAGTGGAAGCTAAAAGTCAGTCTTTGTGTTTTATTTACCCGTGACTTCCTTTCACAGGCCAGATGGAGCCCAGGTTCCTTTACAAGGTGGCCTCCCTGCCAACATGCCCCCACACCCCATGTACATGCCCATGCAGATGCTGTGGTGGCAGCAGATGTACGCACGCCATTACTATATGCAATAGTAAGTCAGTGAAATGTGTCTGTAGATTAGAAAAGCTCATTTTACGCTTTGACTTTGTTCTAGTTGCTTCCATATAAGGATTATAAAGTCTTGGGAAGACTTGCCCAGAGAACATGCTGTTTGTTGAAGGTGTTTGAAATTGAACCCTGTAAAATCTGACTTGGTGCTTCCTTCTGTCCACTGAATATGTGAAGCTTCTGTTTTGTCTCTTGTTTTTTGTCTTTTCACCTCCTCCTGTCAGTCAAGCAGCAGTAGCCGCCTCTCAGCCTCCCAGCACCCCCCCTCCCTCCTCCTCTCCCCTTCAGCCAGCCCCGCTGAATGAAGCTGTGCAGCCCCCGCTTGGCCCTAACCCGGCCCCAAACCCCTTACCAGAGAACCAGCCGGCCAATCCCAACATCCAGATGAACGCGCAGGGCGGGGCGGTGTTAAATGATGACGAGCTCCTTTAGCCACTTCATCATGGTGGTCGGTGCCATGCTGCTTGTCTACCTGTGAGTTAGCGCTGCATAACACTGGAAACATATTTTAAAGATTTAAAAATCATTGTTTCATTAATGGTTTCTTGCATTTAAATTCAGTGCGTGTGAATGCGTGTTTATGGCCCAAGTCGGGTTTCAGCTTTCAGGTCTTTTCTTTTGAAAACAGAAAACCACTTCTGTAAACTTTAAGGATGAATCCAGGTCTAAGATTATGTGTATGTTCCTGTCAGGCACCAGGCTGGTTGGTTTCCCTTCAGGCTGGAGCAGCAGAACCTCAGAGGAGGAGACAGGGCTGGGGCTCCTCAGGAGGAAGCAGAGAGACACCAGGACATACAGGAAATGGTAAGTTGGAGAACACTGGTGTCTCAAATCCATACTACAAACTACTCATATTTTGTGTATGCATTCACCTGAAATGCCTCCAAATGACATTGTGCAGTCTGACACAGATTGTGACCAAGGTTTTATTAAACCTGTCTCACACAGCCGCACATTGGGTTCTAAGACTGACAAAGATTTGGCTGTGTAGAAACGTGTCCAATGTATGTAGTTTGCAGATGAAAATAAAGCTGAGAGCCAACTTTATGTATTTACCTCATCATAGTGTTATTTTTTATGATAAAAGTGTCCTGTTTGCTTAGAAGTTTAGAGATTCACTTTAGTTCACATGTATCATGAACCAGCTCAAGGTTCAGACTAAAAGAGGTAGAACACGTAGTTTGAGTCAAAAGTAAAATATACAATTTAATAAAGTAAACCACACAGTGTAAATCTGTCAAAGTTGGATAAGAATCAGCCCAGGTGAACCTCCTCTCTGATGACCATGTGCCAAACAGAGCAGGAAAACTGCAGGGATCATCACACATTCACCTCTTGATATAAATATAAATGCATGCAGTATACATGGAAACTGCAGCTCAAACCTGTGCTTTTGGCTAAACCGTTTCTGTGCACAACTTACTTTCTGCCACTATTTTACCTCTTCTGTCAAAATGGATGTAAGAAAATATAAGTGGAGGAGGCCGCTATTTGTTTTGCAGCCACACTATGACAGTCAAAGTATAGAGCTTGCACATATCATTACATTTCTATAAATTAATTTTAGAAAGTGCGAAACCTTGTAAATGTTCAGTGACAAGATTTTAAATTTCACAGTTTAAATCCTCGACTCAAACGACTCAATCACGAAGGGGAAAAAAGATTGTGTCTATACCAAAAATGATTTTTTTTTCTTTTTACGCCTATCTTTATACTAAATGTGGTTAAAAAATTAGAGACCTGCCGAAAAACAAAACATCACATCTTTGACAAAGGTAATCATCAGATTTCTTGTCTGCTTGTGTCCCCTCTCTTGTCTGGATTTCTAACCATGCTTGTCTCTGATCATCTGTGTCCCAGGAACGTTTGATGGATGAGGGGATGGAGGATGATGACAGCGGTGAGGAAGGAGGCGGGGCCCCTGAGGACCAGGCCCAGGCTGCTGCTGTTCTCCCTGACCCGAACTTCCTCACCACCATATGGTCCTTCATCAGCACTTTCTTCACCTCACTCATCCCTGAAGGACGGCCCCACCCGGCCAACTAGGTAGACCCCTTACCTCTCAGATACTTCTCTTCCTGGTACAGCCTACAGAAATTCCCACCTTCATCTTTACCATCCTAAATAACTCATTTATCTGAAAAACCATCTTCAGATACTCCTGTATGGTCAAGTACTGTCTTATCCCAGAGCACCCAGTACAACACAGCCAGCTGGCTACAAGCCTTCTATTTGTTGCCAACAAATGAACTGATATTTAAAATAGCCTACTCCTCCAGAGGTTTAAGAGCAGATGCAGTGTGAGTTCTGCAGGGGGCAGAAGAATAAATAAACCCTTAGAAAAGAAATATCATGCTGTGCTAACAGAGGTGTGAATGTTTTTTTTTTGATTGTTTGTTTTATGGCTCATGAATCCATTGAGACGCTGGAGGGAGCTGTCTTCCATTTTAAGCAGTGATAAAGTCATGCTTTTGAGACTTTTCAAACAAGGGATGTGACTCAGATGAAGGAAAAAAAAAACAAAACGGGAGTCTCCCTGAAACGAGAGGGAGGTGTGTGTCCTTAACAAACCACATCCCTAAAGACATTTTCATGTATGCACACGATGTGCATATAGACATTGCAGCTACTGAAGCACATTGTTTTCCCACTTTATGTATTTAAACATGATCTATTTACACATGTAAGTATAAACATCTTTAATTCCTGAATATATGCTTTTTTTTTTTTCAATAAAAATCTTGCTGCAGTTTGACGTGTCTTCTTTACTTCCTGTACTCTGTCCTGTAGTTTATCTGATGTCCAGCAGGTCACACACAGATGTTACAGTGGCTCAGAGTTGAGTTACTTTAAGGTCTGGCAACTGAATGTCCTTGTATGTGACTTTCATAAATAGTTTTCTTGCACACTTTCACAGACCATAGTTCTTTATGTTTACAGTCTGATTCTAGTTGTACAGAAACCCCACATTATTTGTCACATTTCTTTTTGTGACATATTATTATCAGATTTATCAAGTTACATAAAGCTTCACATAAGGTAATAAATAATGATAATGGACACTAAGGCCACAGTGGGTCAGATTAAATTAAAATGAGGTAAAATAAGTAAAATTAGATAAATATTAAGCATTAGCTGATAAAGCTGTTATAAAAAATATAACATCAGTTTTACCTTTTTTGCACATGCGTGACAGAATATATTTTTTAAATGTGTCAGTGCACCCTGCTTCACACTTTGGTCCAGAGTGAAATATCTCGGCGGCTACAGACTGTGATGGATTGCCATGAAGGGCAGTGTGTCCTGGAAATGTAAATGTTTCAGCAGACTTTTCTGTCTCTCTCAGGAAGAATTTTAATAATTTTTGGTGAATCCTTTACTTCACCATCATCAGGTTAAGACTTTATTTTGTCCAGTACTTTGATTTGTGACCAAACAAACGCCTGTAAAACTACAGTCCCAGCAGCCTCAGTTATATGTTGTGTTTAGTACAAATCAGCATACTGTATGTTAGCGTGTAAGATGGTAAACAGCCTGTGAGAGGTGTCGCTGTGAGTATGGGAGCATGCTGACGCTATCACTCAGCCTCACAGAGGCGTTAGTGTGGCTGTTGACTCTAAGACCGTAGAATTAGAAACACAGGCTCACAGCTGCTGCTGTACAGCTCCAGTGGAGCAAAGGGGACGGTGTAGCTCAGGGGGTAGAGGGAGTACAAACTGTACTTTGGTTTTTGGGGGGGCGGGACTACATGAAAGTTTGTCCCTGTTGGATGTTAGACATGCGCAGATGTTCGCTGCTCTGCCGCTGTCCTCACAGATGGAAAGGTGAGCGGGGAAGCAGCTCAGACAGCGATGCACTTCAGAGAGTCCTCTAAACTCCCCTAATCGAATGACCATGGATTTTTGTGTAGTTGGTCGTAGAAGGCACAATTAATTATGCATGACAGCGGCTTGACGGCTGTTTGATTTTGTTACGTGCTCCCCCCAGGCTGCTGATCCAATCAGGCTAGGATCCCCTGTCCTCTCTCATCCCTGCGGCTCTGGGGTGAGGGTTAGACTCTCCTTATCAGAGGGAGAAATTTCTTTAAGAGGGTGTTTGCGGCCTTGTAGGACATTTCATCATCATAATAAGTCCTTGTTATGCAGCTGGCTCTCTCCTGCTTCCCTATCAGGCCTTGTTGTCTTTGGAGAGGCAGCAGTTGAGCTGGACACCTGCCATTGGAGGAGAGAGAGGAGATGGAGTGAGTTAATTAGGAAGGGCAGAGAGAAGATGAGGAGGAGAGAGGGTGTGACACCTATGAGGATGAGATGGTGATGCACTGTAGCACATGCTCTCAATAAAAGTGCTCCGAGCATGTGCAGTAAATGTTTCATGTAGTCTGGAGCCATACGTCACATATTACTGGCAGATATATTAATTTACAGTATACTGAGTATCAGCCAATAACAGATTAATTGAAAGCAGAACAGAAATGCCAAATATGTGTTTTAAGGTAATTAAGAAGAAGCAGTCCAGTCTTCATCAAACTGTAGCACAAATTTTAACTGAATATTAGGACTTGGTGGCACTAATTGTCCAATCAGCTGCTGTTTAACCATTGCAGAAGAGAAGGACACAACAAAATGATGTAATTAAAAGAGCACCAATCAAATCTCAAACTATAGAAAAGTCATGTTCGTTTCATGTACTGGTTTGACCTACACTAGTGTCCTCGGGGAAATCACTCTTTGCTGCTTCAGAGGTGTAATTGCAACCAACGCACAGTAACAATTGAAGGTCACTCGGGTCAGCATAGCATTTTTATCTGTTTCAGTCTGGATTTCAACAGCTGGACAGTGAAATGATATTTAAGGGGCGAAGAAGAGGGTTTTGAAAAGTGAACAGGTGAAGTCCCCAACATGCCAGGTAGAAGTGAGGTCCCTGTATTGTTGTCAATACTGTATTTGTATCTGCCTCAAGATTCCAGTATGAGTGAGGCTCTAGTATAAACTCAGCCATATGTCAAAAGCAATATTAGATGTTAAATGATTTTCTTGTTTGACACTGAAAGGAACTTCTGCATATTTTGGCCAGTGCAGTCCTCCTAATGCCTTCCATCAGAAATAATGTACATACACAGTATGACGGGATTAACACGATTACCTTGCGATTCAATTGGTTCCCAAATATAACTGCATCCACGTCAGAACATTTGCATTAGCTTTATGGGGGTGATTTTGTGTCTTTACTCTGCAGTGGAATAAAATGTATTTCAGAGCAAAACCTTGGCCTGCAATCAAAACAGGCTGTCTTTGCAACAACAACAAAAAAACTTTTTAGATCAATTAATCAACTGAGATCAAATCAAGTCATGAATTGAAATCAAAACTATTTGTTTAGCAGTCAAAGGTTTTGGATGTCAAATATAAACTGATTGAAATCAGAGAAATTTATGTTTCAAGCAAAAATCCTTTTACTCTTTTTCTTTTGTTTACATGAGTAAAAATTTGACATTTTCTCAAGAGTTGTAGTCAAGTATTAGGGGGGTAATTTGGGTCTTTACTCTGCAGACTTTGAAGGTTTTTGAATTGTAACCAAAGACTCTGGCAAACAAAAAACTGTGCACCGAGAGCAAAACTTAAAACTGACAAAATGTAAACAAAAGAAAAAGAGTAAAATGATTTTTTGCCCTTCTGTTTCCTGTACCCCTTGAACCTGACAAGATGTTGAGTTGACAAGACGAGAGGTAGAAAATCAGAGTATGTCAGGTCGGCCTTTAAAAAAACAAACAAACTCTGAAGCAGCCCAGAAAGTTGCAATTGGTGCAACTCTAACTGTATCAGTGACTCTCTTCCCCTGTGTCATCTTTTAGCAGCCAAACCAACGACCAGACAGCGCTGCTGTTGTGCCGAGGACTCCCGTGGAGTCTAATTGTACTAGTCCTTGAGTACAAATTTGACATTTTCTCAAGAGTTGTAGTCAAGAAGGTTCTACGTATCAACAAAAGTTCCACTGAATTCCATGTCACTAATCTACAAAATACCCCAGAGCAAAAGTCCTATGCTAAAGTTTTAGCTAAAAGCTACTGTAATCAATATTTTACACTAACAGCGGATCAAATGCCAACAGGGAATTATCCCTACGGAGCATTTTATTTTAGTATCTTTTTGCTTTGCTTCAGTTTTAGGGCCACATTGTTCTGGTTCACCCACTCTGCACCATGTTTTTGCTGATGTGTCAACAGGCAACTGCTCCTAACACATTTTCCATAAAAAACTTTATAAGGTAGTTTGTTACGCCATCCCCAAGAGGCAGGCAGTGGAAATATTAATATCAATGCAGATTTTAGTATTAGTACTTAGGAAAAATGGCCTGTTTCAATGGTTTGCATTGTTAGTGATGTGTTAACAGTAAAGCAGCGTTTTAACATTGCAGCTGGTCAAGGTGGAGCTGATGTTTTCATTTTTTGCATTCTTGTGGCTATGTGGATTTCTTAGAAGACACTGAGGAGCTGCTAATGTGAGATTTAGTAATGACGCTGCTTCCAACAAATGCCTAGTTTGCAGATGATTTAAAAGTTCAGATTTATTGTGCAGTTCTTTACAACTCACCATTTATTGTTGCAGTATTGTCCTTGTTACTTTTCATATGAAATAAACCAGAAATGTTCAACAAAAAGAATAAACCACAAGGATAAATATAGGCTGAGCCACAGAGCTGCGGTGCCAGCAGAGACAAAAGCTTCTCACACACAAAGGAGCAAAACCTGAAGATGACTGCATCGACCTCCTTACATTGCATCACTTATCTAACACCAAGGAGGTTCAGAGGTGTTCACATTTGGGTTGTTTCATCAGTAACAGTGCGTCATATTTTATAAACTAATTTTGTGTATGTTAAGTCAAAATCTGCTGTACATCTGTCAGATAAAGGAAGTAATCAAAAGTCCAACATTTCTCTTTACTTTAAAACGGAGTATTTGCACAAAATGGACATACTCAAGTATAGTAGCCCAACATTGTCTTTAAATACAACAGCCCATTTAGTTGCTTTTGACCAGTGATTTTAGTCTATTTCATAATTGGATTACCAAACAGCATTTTAGGGTCTCATAAATATCTGGAAAGCGCTGCTGCAGCCTTCATGTCTAGCTACATTTGGCCTGAAGAAGCTTTTGCAGAATAATTTGTGTTTGGGCTGAAATGCAACTGTTTGTGAGCAGGAAGTGAAATGAGTCGGTCCTGTCATCTGTTTGTCCTCGGACAACGTTGCTTTCAAGATGTATTTCCTTTAAAACCATTTTCCATTGTTTGCCAACAGGTTCCACGTGTCACCACAGCCTCTATGTGCTTTGTGTCCTTTGTCCTCCCTGAGGCACTTTATGGTCTTTATGTTAAAAGGCGCTTTATCGCTAAATTCGCCTTGGCACGTCTTGTCGGGAGATGTTGTGGCTGATGAGACTCCTGACCTGCAGATAAAACATCCATTAAAAGGCTTGTCTGGGGCGATTCCCTGCTCTTACCCTATTAGCATATTGTTAGTCATTTGCGGGATGGTGCGGCAGTGGGTGTGCGCGGCCCTGCTGGGCTGGTCGCCACACCATAACGCACCGCCTCTCACTCTGCTGCTGCGATAAATGTCAGCTCCGATGTTGTTATGTCCCCGGCTGGCCTCCGCCAGACGATTCAAATGACCGCTAAAAGCTTGAGGGAAGGAAAAAAAGGAACAAAATGCAAAATTGATGGAAACGACATTATACTCAGCTCATGTTCCTCACTGTGTAAATTATGCCCCAAAATGGACTCTCTGGCCCGACTGTTTGCTCCAATTTGGTAGGCCATAGCTCATGGTGGCTTGTCTTGCTCTTTCCTCCTCCCTTTAATCCAATCAGAGCCACACTGGATGTTATTTATTTGTTTATTTATTTATTTTCGAAGGATGTAACCGATTCTTATCAGGGTAGAAGTGGGCCCTTCTTCCTGGTGACACAGTGACTAACGTCCAGCCATCGATCTCTCAGCTTGTCTGTGGTGGCGGGTGATGGCTATGGTGATAGACGGCTGTGTGTGTGTGTGTGTGTGTGTGCACTTTATATACTAGAGTCAATAGTGCAGAAATATTGCAAAATTGTTGATATGTTTTCACCCGTTCAAAAATCCATGCCCAGTGTGACTTTGCCTGTGATATTTTAGCTCCTTTTCTTTGGTTTCTCTGCCAAATGCAAATTGTAAATGTAAAATGTTGTAGGGCTCCCATTTGAAGATCAATTTCAGTCACAGATTTATTAGTTTTGCAGTTCCTTATGATGTAGATTTCAATGGAGAACACTTCTTTGAGTGATCTCAGCTTTAGCAGCTCCTCAGTGTTCCTGAGTCAATGTGTTCTTGGTCTAATCCGTCTAATTCAGGCCTTCATTCTTAGCTACCTCTAACTTTTGGTGGGTGGCATGGTGGGGCAGTGGTTAGTACTGTCATCTCACAGAGGGAATATTCCAGTTTTGAACCCTGGCTGATTTAATGCCCCCTTGTCTGGAGTTTGCCTGTATGGGTTTTCTCCAGGTACTCTGGCTTCCTCCCACAGTCCAAAGACATGAGGCTTAGGTTGACTGGTGACTCTAAATTACCATTAGTTGTGAGTGTGGATGTGTGTGGTTGTTTGTTTAAGCGTCAGCCCTGTGATAGACTGGCGACCTGTCCAGGGTGGACCTTGACCAGTGTCAGCAGGGATTTGGTTTGTTGTTATTTTAGTTTTCTTTTTATTTTTATTGTTAACAAATCCCTAAAAAGATTAAAATAAGCCCCAGAAGCTGAGAATGGCCAGTTGCAGTCATTTTAACATTAGCTTTAGATCATGTGTTACCTGCCTGTGAAAACATTATTCTTTTTATTTGTTCACACTGCTCTGTCCTGGTCTCATCTGATATTGGAAGCCATGCAGGGTTGAGCCTATAGTTCGTGGATGAGGGATCACCTGAAAATGTTAGGTTCAGTGACCACAGTACACCCAGCCGCTGGGGTTGCACACGCTAGAGTTAATGTATCAGGAAGGGCATTGGTGTAAAACTGCTGACTGTATATAAATATGGACAACATGTCACAGCTTCCCTCCACTTTGCAAAAGTGAAGCCAAATTATTGTGAATACTGCAGCTGCCATCTTGGCATTTTGCACCCAGATTCTGTATTGTAGTAAAAAAGTAATCACACTGCCAGTCAAAGCTCTCAAATCGTCTGTAATACACCCTTTTTATATCATCAAAGGAAGAATAACTTGTACACACATCCCTGTGATAATATCTACCAAATACAATAGATACCAGCTTTGGGAAAAGTGTATTTGATTTGCCCTTTAAATTTTTTGTCTGGCTCATGTCCTGTCTGCTAACATGGAGGAGGTGGGATTTATGATATATACTAGCCACCAGGTGGCGATTGAGTTGCAATGGCTTCACTTGTGTGAGCTGCCAGCCTGTCCATTTTTCATACAGTCAACATGTAAAACCTGTGTCAAATCACATATACGGCTTGTAATAATCTGCTGTGATGACCCCTAAGTGATGGGGAGCAGCTGAAAGAGGAACAACAACAGTGGGATAATTATCTAGGTTTGTGATAATGAAATAATTAACCTAGAGTCTTAATGTAATGGAATAACTGCAGTAAAATTAGTGCAATCACGGCCATTCTTTGTTTCTGTAACCAACTTTATTCTCATCCATCTGTGAGAACTTTGCACCTTTCCCAATCTTCAACACAGCTCACAATTATAGTTTCACTGTTCCTGAAGTTCAGAGCAAACATTACTCAAGCCAAAGTAAATCCTTTGCCGACCACTTTCAAGGTTAGATAAATACACATTTGTAAATTGTAGTAAGTGTGAAGTCAGCCACTGTCACCCTTCATCATAGTGAGCACATGTCTCCTTTTTTTGGACAATGGAGAAACTGAAGCTTGTTTTTTAACAGATGTGTGATAAAGTTGAAGAGCCCATTTGTCAACTGACCCATTAGGTACAAACCATTAATATCACACATGACTCCTGTGTAAATAATTCAGTCTGTGCAGCTGGACGATGAGGTCATTGTCTCATCAGAAATGATCCCAGAGACACACAGCATGTCAGAGACACTACTGGCACACTCATCGGTTCAGGAGGACCTCTGCAGCCTTTTGTTCCTCCTTTGGAAAAAAAAAACTGACCATTTTAACTTTTTCACAGCAGATGATTCGACTTATGATAGTAAGAAAAGTGCAGGTGTTTTTATTAACGGTAATGATGGCTCTGTTCTATTCATGTGTTCCACAGTCATGACCGTGCGACTGTGAGTCAGCATGCATTAAAGAGCTTTCTCATGGCAAATATTTTGACATGTCAAAGCAGGAAAAGTACACACAGTATGTCATGAATGAAGGCTGCACTGCACAGGTCTGGGGTCCTGGTGTTGTGCACGTTGGTCAAAATGTAATGATGATGTGAGAACAGTCTATACAGACCCTGAATTCAGCCATCATTACTTTATTATTTACTTATGTGATATGTCAAAATATTATCAGTGGGGATGTTGCAGTGATGTCAGTGCTTCTGTTGCACAAGCAGAATCTTTCCTTCATTTTTTAAAAACCATTTTGGTCAAAAGGATCTTACAGTACTGTACATGTGGTTGCTGTGCTGATATGCCATTGCTGTGGCTCTGCCATCATGATCCCATTTACATTGAAGAATGATTGGGATTTTTAAACCTATTCACACAAACGTGATAGAAACCACCTTATGTTCAAATGAATTTACCCATTTATTTATAAGACTACTGAGGCCTGTCACTGGCAGCTTCATCAGATTTGAAGCAGGACCTGATGTGTCGGCTGGAGATTGTGACTCTAAGCAGCTGCAAAGGTCTTCTTTCTTGGAGTTGATTGGAAATAAAAGTGCTGGATGTGAACTGTTCAAAGTCTCTGCAAGGAGAAAAGGCTCCAAACAAATCAGTAATTTGTTTTCTCACCTGTATTGGCTTTGATAGCCATATCATATTAACTTTAAAAGTTTGCATTGACACAGTTGAATTACATATGTACAAAAAACCAGGAACTTTTGATAATCATTGCTGTCCTTCACTGATAAATAATTATAATTGCACTTTCTAATAGTGTTATTTTATCGTACTAGTATAATTATATATTATACGTATATTACAGAATATGTACTTATTCTTTTTCTGAGATTCCTTGAAGGTCTGGAAAAGAAAATAAAAAATAATGTGATTACTTTTCTACAAAAGGAAGCATTTTTTGGACTCAGTTTTACATAAATATCCCTGCCATTGTAATATTTATTCATGTGCAGCTGCAGGAACATGAATCTCTGACCTGACAGCCAAACCAAGTCAAATATTTACAGTTTTAATTGCAGGAAGCCCTGGAAACTAACAACTAACTCACAACATTGCAGGAACAAACTAATACATATGAGCACTGTATGAAACCATTCACCACTAGATGGTGATGTAGGATAAAGCAGGATAGAAACAGAAGGACCAGCACTTGTGGTTTACTCTTTCTTTATGACAGGACTACTTCACATCATCCTTCTGAACATTTAATGGGGGGATACAGAAACCTAAATACATTTCTGTGTTTCAGTTGTAGTTTTAAAGTATTCCATTATTTATTTTTAACAATCTGTGACTCATCAAGAGACAGAGAAATGTGAACACATTTTCAGCCAGTGGGGGTAAAAAAAAAAAAGAAAAAAAAAGAAACTCAGTGTATTTGGGTGGTGATATATACGTATTTCTCAAGGTTTACAAATACCTGTTTTCTTAAATGTGGCATAGTACATAGTTTTTCAGAGAGCAAAATAAATATATTGCACTTATAAATCATCAAAACACAATCCTGCTCGGTGTTGTTTTATGGCATACAAAAAGAAACAAAACAAAAGAACGTGAAGCTTATTTTCATTTGTGCATTGGCAGTGTGCATGTGGTTCAAGAGGGAAATGATGGGACTCAACATTCAGTTCATGCTATACATCAGAAAAGGATGAACTGATTTCTAAAGCAAAAACAAAAGGGGGGGTTGTCTTTCTTTGGGAAACAGATGAGATCAAATTAACTTATCAGAACATTTATGACACTTTTATACATTTGTTTAAATTCAGAATCTTTTTCTTTGCATCCATCATCGTGCCTCCACAGAACAGCGTTGAAAACATCGCCATCCGTTACACACACAAAGACGAAGGTGAAACATTTAACTGTGTGGTTTGGATCTTGTGCATAAACATGGCAGACTCACTACAAAAAAAATTCCAGCTTAACCAGTAATTTTCATCACTGTGCCTTCTTAAAACTCATATTTCTCAGTGAAACTATTTTCCTGTGACATGTTTTTAGTACAGCCCAAATAATACTGGCGTTTGAAAGCTGATACTGATATTTAAAAGTTTAAAAACCAGATAAAAGTATATTAGCCAATATGTTAACTCATCTGTTTTGTGAAATTTTGAGCTGAAATGATTAGTTGATCCACAGCGAATTAACAATCTAGTAATTGTGGAGCTGAGTTGGAAAATCCAGCTTCATAATAAAATGTGTTCCAGAATGACAGCATTAACTGTCACTGCTGGTAGGACCATCCCAGCTGGATTTTTAATTCTTTATACATCTTCAGATACACTCCTTTGACTACTCCACCAGTGAGCTGCCATTGTTATGCAGCTGCTCCATTACTGAATGTGTGAATCGACCCCAGCAGCTTCCAGCTTCTTCCTCCCTGCATGTTTTAAATGAGACAGCAGAGAACAATTATTTCCAGGTGTGGACACTCTGTCGGCACAGTCTGACGCTGTAATCAGCTGCTAAAAGCCTGTGTTTGGCAGCTAAAACCATGGTGATGCCTGATGTTCTTACCTAACTGTTATGTTTACAATGAAAAAATATAAAACCATGCTGCAGTTACTCGTCAAATGTTTCTGTGTTCCAACATACAGGATATGTGATCAATGAGATCGAGCTTGACTTGTTTCTCTCAAAACAAATTGATTTATTTGGGCAAAGTTTGTGGCCAGTTTAACTCAAAGTAAATTATATAATGACTATTTTAAAACAGATGTTTGTGAACTTAACATATTGTGGGTGAGTCTTATTTAGTTGAGACCTGGTCACATGAGAAAGTGACACAGCAGCAATTCATCCATGTGTTTGCACAATGAAACTCAAAAGCTGTTATACCTGACTGGCCACACTCGAAGCTTTGCTCATTAGCAAATTTGTGAAAAGAACGTTAGGTTCATGCAGTTTATTCATAAGATGTATTTGTACCATTAACTCCTGTCTAAAGCCAAGTTGGACTCTTCAGCTCTTTATTCCCTCAAATGTTAGGTAAGCCCTCAGCAGCAGTGCTGGGCAGTGAAGAAAATCTGGCATAGCAGCCAAACTGCATTACTACTTTCACTTTCATCACGTGATGCACACTGGCCCAAAAAACATTTTTCTCATAGAGAATCACTGGAAAAGGAGTGGCTGTAAAATGGCAAACAATTTTTCTGTGTGGCACAAACCCTGCGAAATGTCTTTTTATTATCAGAATTTTATTCACTGGGTCTATTACCATTTGGAAAGTCTAGTTTATCCTTAAGATATTTTTATTTTATCCTATTCACACCTGCGTGGAGCCCACCAAACATCACCAGGCTCATCTAGTGGGAGACTTGGCTTGACACAAGTGCGCATGCTCTATGGACACAAAAATGCGGAAGCGTGATAAACATCCAGGTAATTTTTATGGCTGGAATCTGGAAGCATCAAGATTTTTTTTTGGATCATGCACCACTGAGCAACTTTAACAGAAACAGTTAGGTGCCGTCTAGCAGTGCTGTATCTAATTCTCCATTAATACATCCATGATGTCAGGGCGATACACACAGTTTGCCACGGGCGCCGTTGGGGGGGGTTAGGACGATTCTAAGGGCCCACGAACTTTGGGGGCCCACAGTCTGTGGGTAGAGGGCCCAACTTCAAATTTTTTCATAGGGCCCAAAACTGTTAGCGGCACCCCTGCAGTTTGCAAATGGTCAGCAGCTGGAATCTGCATGTCAACATTCCAAAATTTTGAACCACATATGAAAAGTTTGAGTATTTACCATATTTATTTACACAAGAACTGGACTGGCTACCGGACTGCAAAGATGGTGCCCACTCACTTGAACGGAAATTGCTCTCTGAGGGCTTAAGCCAAAACAGGTTTTCTAGCTTCTGGGGTTTACTTTGGCCTCGTGAAGTCTACTCATTGACTGTATATTAAAGATGGACAAACCCACCGTGATGTCACCCATTAGTTTTCTGAAGAGCAATTTTAAAGCTCAAGTCTGGCTGTTGCCATACTGCCACTGTTGCCATTGCCATGCTTCACTCCGCCTGAAGAGTCAATGGCGCTGGCTAGACAGGTAGCAGCTAGCCCTCCCACCTGTCACTCAAAGCAGCCATGCCCTTAATTAATGTGGAATTTTTAGTTTTGGTTTCATTTAATCCAGCTCAGCCCATAGACTTTATATTGAGATGATGTCTCACACACCCTAGATGATGGCTAAGTTATTAATATAAAACCTGCAGGGATTAAAAATTCTTATAAAAAACAATAATTAACATTGCTTTTACTGGGCTGCAGGGGATTGTTTTCATTGCAGTATTGTGAGTGACCACTTGAACAATTTCGTAATGAGGCTGAGTGGTCTACTGTATCCATCTCTCTCCATACATCCATGGTGTTCACACCTCCCCTTCCAGCAAATTCACAGCTTCTTTTAAAATTAACTGATTGCGCTGAGACATGTTGATGTTTTAAATGCTTGTGTGACCAGGCCTTTAAAGTAGGCAAAAATCCTTCACCCTTGTCATAGATGAGCTTATTCATCACATATTGTTTACCCGGTGCGTGTGTCTACTGCGGACAGCATGCGTTCTATGAATTTTTTGCACTCTACAGTGACAATTTTCCTATGAGTAAATGTAGCAATTTTATCTTTGTACAATACATTTTAACATACTGTATGTCTAACATTATTTTCATCGAGCATGAAGTTTGAACTGTACATATGGCTGACCTTCTAGAAAACAGGAGAGGCTGAGATGACCGTTCTTGCCTCTCTGACATGCTGAAGTGTTCACTAGCATCAGATAAGTCACTCCCAAAAAGCATCATCTTAGGTTGCATTGTCGATGGCTCATAAACCAACCTGCCATCTGTAAAGCCTTAGAGACCCAGTAGCCAGTGGTGGTCTTTAAAGGGATGCAGAGTCTAAATGTTAAAAATGTTTTGAGGATCCACTTGCTGTTCTTCAAGGGGTGAGATCAAACCTGCTCCTTTTATCGTCTTGTATTAGGTTTTGTAGTTTGTACTGAGGTCATAAGTGTTTGTACAGTATCACTAAAGAGTTTGTCCTGGGGTCTTTCGGTCGGTCTTTTTTTTCTAAATCAGCTTTCAGTAAGCCACATCCTCTTTGTGTCGTTACCATCGCCTCACTCACTGCAGGAGAACTATTTACAAAGACCAGAGGGAAAAAATACAAACTGGATGAGGGGTGATGAGCTGGTGCAGAGAAATAACTTGTTGCACTGAACTGGGGATAAGCATCAGAGCAAGGTTTGGTTGAGTCATACAAAGGGCGTCATGACTGTGGAGGAGTGGCGGAGTCCCTGAATGGCGGCGTAGGGCCCCTGCTGGAAGTAGTGGTGGTAGCGTGGCATGTGGAAGGACGGAAATGATGGCCCACTTCCCTGCATGGTTCCAGCCAGAGCGGTGGGTGTCAGGGGCATGCCCAGCCGGCTGTAAGGGGGCAGGGAGCCTTGGATGGGATGGGGCAGGGAGGCGGCACCGGTGCCCATGGCCGACAAGGACTGTGGGTGCTGGAAGCTTGAAAAACCCGAGGTGGTGGTGACCCAGGAGCTCAGGGAGACGGAGGCGGTGATTGCCGAGCCTACAGAAGACCCAAGGCAGATGTATTAGGCTGAGATACCATATAGGGATACGTGTGGTGATATTCTGTATTTTCCTTATTGTCAACAAATCCAATGAAAAGACCAACTGATGCTGCTGACAAGTACTGTATGTGTTTCCAAAGCCTCATGATTTCTCTATGCCACAAAAGTCTATTGTTAAAAACATATCAGTGAGCCACACCATTCCACTGAGTGACATCCTGCTCATTTTGATCCAATCACCATCCTGCTGTGTGTCTCACCTCTGGTGTGCGCCGAGTGTCCGTCCTCGCCCAGGTTCTCTTCGTCTCCAGCATAGGTTCGGATTGGCGACCGGGCG